TCGATCAATTCGAACCGCCAGCGAGTTGTTGACAGAGAGGCGGTAGTCAAAAGCTGGAAAAATAAAGAAAAACCATCTCAACAACGTTCACACACACATACATACATTCATTTATATGTATGGGTCGCGTTGCTGCAGCGCACATTGTCATTGCGTTTTTGGACCAAAAGTAGCTCGTGCACGCGCACGCTTGCGCCCAAACCCGGGGAAAAGTCAACGCCAAAAAGTCAAACTGTCCATTACTCATTTTAGCTGTCAACTTGGGGAGCGACGCCAAACAAGCAGGCAACGGCAACACAGACGCGCTGAAGACAATGAGCGGCGGCAGAGAAAATAGCGCAACTCAACTCAAGTGGGCAATATCAATGGGCGGCCCAGTAACAACAGCAGCAAACAACCATAGCAACAGCAGCACACTTGGCGACAATGTTGTTTCAAAGCGTTGCTGTTGCTGTTGTTGTTGTTGCAACTATTATTTGTTGCCATAGACAATTGCCTAATGTATGTACTCATACTTGCCACCGCTACTTGTGGCAGCTAAGTGCCGCACGCTGGTAGTCCACCAGGTATTGACGCAAGCCGCCAGTAGCCGCCATGACATTTGGCCAAAAGACATTTTTCATACCAAAAAAAAATACATACATATATATATATATATATATATATATATATATAGATATATTGCATATTGTTTGTTTTGTTTTGATTCTGTGGTTCTGTTTGTAAATATTGTTAAAAGCCGCCGCCGCTGCCGCTTTTGCGGACGTCATTGTCATTGGGCTTTGTCGCTGAGGGTAGGAATTCACTTGATTTGCGAGTGCACTTGGCGCACCTTTGACCAGCCCAAGCGCTGTTGCTGCTGCCGCTTTTGAGGTATCTCTGAGGCTTGCTCTAGGTTTGCGTCTCTTTGCTTTAGGAGTCTCGTTGAATTTTGCTTAAAAATCTTCTGTTCCTTTGAATATTCATTACTTTTGTCGCTTTGTTATATATACATATATACATTTTATGACGGTCACATAATTTAGGTTGACATTTTGTGTGCATAAATCTTTGGCGAAATGATTTTTCGACATTCACTTTGTAGAAAGGCGTTCAGGCTGTGTGAAGAGCTACACATAGTGGACGACGTGGAGAGTTGTGGCGAACGAAGTGGTGAGATGGGCCAGAATATTGGTTAGTGCTTTTTCGGTATATCCTTTGACATTTCAAATTTACTGTTTCAAATTTGAGTCAAGAGAAGAAAGTTACTAAGTATCTGGTCAAAGTTCAAACAAACCGGACCTGTTAGCCATTTTGAAGATCCATTTTTTGGAAACAAATACTTTTTCTCATTTTAATATACTTATGAGGCTTTTTCTTTTCTATTGGCGTTGGCGCCACCAGTCCCTCCTTTTCACTGTTCGGCGCCAGTTGGAAACACCAAGGGAAACCAGGTCGCTCTCCACCTGATCCTTCCAAACGGAGTGGTGGTTTTCCTCTTCCTCTGCTTCCACCAGCCGGTATTGCATCGGATACTTTCCTTCGAAAATTCACAGGACCGAATTATCAGTTGTTGACATCGTCTATGCTTCTGCGCCATGTGGCAATACGGGTATAATGAGTGGCTTGAAGAGTTTGGTTTTCGTTCGCCGCGAGAGAGAGCATTACTTTTGAATTGCCTACTCAGTTCTAAGTAGCACCTGTTGGCAAGAGTGATTCGGCTTTGGATCTCAAGGCTGACATTATTATTGGTGTTGATGTTGGTCCCTAGATAGACGAAAGTATCTACGACATCGAGGTTATGACTGTTAACAGTGACGTGAGAGCCATATTGGGAATGCCAGTACCGTTTCCGTGATGACAGGAGATATTTCGTCTTATCCTCGTTCACTACCAGATCCATTCGCTATGTTTCTTTATCAAGTCTGGACAAAGAACTGCCTATGATATGAATATTATCGGCATACGCTGCTGTTATTTGATATATGTATATACCGTATCATAATGAAACTCCGAAAAATAAATTTGCAAATTTATGACTCAGATAATGGTTTGACTCGCGTGGGCCTTCGCGTGCTACGTCCAGTATTCGGTCCACATAACGCTCAGCAGAGTCGGTAGTTCGTGTAACCATGGATTGGTCTCACGTCACGTTTACTCTGCTGGATAAAGAGAATCCTTAGATACTTTCTTCAGTTAGAATCGAAGATGCTATTGCTGCTGTGAAGTAGAGTGTCGAAGACGACCGAAATGTGCCCATCTACCATCGCGATGAAGATTTCGCAGAGGTTCCTGGTGACGTGCGATCGGTGAATGTGCACAAATTGAGATGGAAACCGACTTCGATTTTCACAGTAAAATTTTACCAGAAAAAACAACAAATTATCGCATTTGGCGTGGCGAGCAGCCATAAGCCATTTTTTGGGACGCTGTTATATTCATAAAAAGCCACCGTGTGATGCAAATCACTACTTCAGGCAGGTTTGACTTGCTGAGACAGACAAGATGCTATTCTTCGAAAAAAGCTTTAATTGTGAGAAATTAATGAAACGCTTTGCCTTTTCATATAATATAATAAAACAAATTTACTTCAAATGAATGCCTTTATTTAATGCAATTTTTATTCTTCTTTAATTTTTTTTTTAATCTTGTAGTTTATGTTCCAGTTTTTTCATATACAAAAATAAATAAACTTAAATGCTTAATCGTACATTTCTTATGAAAATAAATTTATTTACTTATAACAATAGTCAATAGTAAAAATAAAAATACATTGTAATAATATTAAAAATAAAAGAAACAATTTATTACTTATTGTTAAATTAAGTTAAAAAATTTAAATTACTTTTTCAAGTAAATTATTTTTATAAATTAGTATTTAACGCTCCTTAAATTAAAATAAAGTACTTTAAAATTCGTATACAAAACAAAAAACAAAATTTGCTAATTATAAAACTTTTAATTTTATTTAAAATAACTATTAATACTAGTTTTAAAGTAGACTGACAAATTTCAATTAATTTATTTAATTTTTTGTTTGTTACTCTGTACAGCAGGTCAGTGCATTTATGTGGAATTTTAAATTGATATTTTAGCATTTTATTTAAATAGAATTTTAGTACTTTATCCATTTTTATATTTTCTTTATATTTATATATTTTTTTTAATTTTAATTGGATTTAATTTTTTAAATTTAATTTAATTTAAATAAATTTTACTTAAATTTTTATTTCGTTTTATTTTATTTTATGCTATTTCATTTTATCGAATTAAATTTTATTTTCTTTAACTGTATTATATTTTATTTCATTTCATTTAAGCTAATTAATTTTTTTATTTTTAATTTAATTTAATTTAATTTTATTTTAGTTTATCTTACTTTGTTTTGTTTATTTTATTTTAATTTTAATTTTAATATTTGTTTTTATTTTTATTTTAATTTTTAGTTTTATTTTTATTTTTATTTTTATTTTCATTTATATTTTTACTTTATTATCCAATTTTATTTCACTTTATTTTAATTTAATTTTTTTCTTATATAAAATCATGCCGCATCCCCCATATTCACCCGACATTGTACCTTCTGATTATCATTTGTTTCGATCGCTGCTGAACAATTTGAATGGAAAAAAATTTAAAAATGTGGAAGACGTCAAAAACCACCTTGACACCTTTTTCAACGAGAAACCGCGCGATTTCTATGAATCAGGCATCCGTAAATTGGTTGAACGTTGGGAGTGGATTGCCGAACATGATGGCGAATACATAATTGATTAATAAAAGCGCTTTCTTCAAAAAATTTCAGTTTTAGTTTGTACTTGAAATCGGGCACGAACTTATGCACTCATACAATAATTTATTTTAATTAATTTTAATTTTAGTATCTCATTTCTTTTATTATTATTATTTTTTTTTTATTATTTTAATTTTTTTTATTTTGAATTTTTCTGAATTAAAAATAATTATTTATTTTTTTTATATTATTTGTTTTATTTTATTTATTTATTTTTGTTCTATTTTATTTCATTTTAGTTTAATTTATTTATTTTATTTTAATTTAGTTTTATTTATTTACTTTTATCTTACTTTGATTTGATTGTATTTTTTTTAATTCAATTTCTTTTATTTTATTTTTCTTTATTTTATTTTTGTATATTTTATTTAAATTTGTTATTTTTTTATTTTTTATACTAAATTCACATTTTTTATTTGAGTTTTTTTAGACTAAAATTGGCAATTGACTGTTGTTGTGCCTTTTAAAATTTTATTGAAAATGTTTTTTATTTTATCTACTAAATTTAAAACAGTTCTCAACACCATAATGATTTCTTAATAATATTTTTTTTTCAAAAGCTGTTGAAATATCGAAAACTTTTGTTATGTTGGCTACATATGTGCATTTGCTGTTATATATATGAAAATATTTTTTTTTATTTTTGTAAAAATAGAAATGACCTCAGATATATGTATATATTTTGCTATTTAAGTTTATTTAATTTCTATCTATAGTTTTGTACATAGGTTGGCACCAATTTTTCCGTATTCAATTCACTAGGATTTGTTTTTACTATGGCACAAGGGAATTCTCAGGTGTGACTTGGCCATTTTTATTTATATATATTATATATATATATATATTTATAATTCAATTATATACATATCTATATATTTAATAAATGATTTTTAATTAAAAAAAAAAAGTTACATGAGAAAACATTAATAACATAAAACACGCTTGTGGGCAAATAATAGACATAGATAACATAAAAAAATAATATTAACAAAAGAAAAGTTAACTAGAAAGTTTATTGTTAAGAAAACATTGCAATGGACAGCTGAAACCTCATAATGGTAGTGCAAGCACGTTTATCCATATTTTTGTATAAAACCATTCTTTCTAGATTTTCGAACATTTTTGTTCCTGGAATCCTCTCATCATACTTTTAAGTATGTAAAACAATTACAAATAAAACACGAAATTTGAACAAAAACTAACGAAAAAAAATCCATTAAGAACCGTTTTAATTAGTCGCTGCAAGCGTTTCTGAGTGCATTGAAGACAAGTCTAATTGCGTTGGCTAATGTATCACAGCGTGCGACAGCGCCTTAGCGAACATTGGTGCAGGTGACGCTGTCGAGGGTGGCGGTGTTGTGGGCGTATGCGAATTGCTTCCTACATGCACTGTGCGCTGATCATTGCACGCTACCTCCGCCGACGCCGTCGCCGCCGCTAGACGTTGAACCACTTCGCGCCCCTTTACTGATAAGTCTATGGGTTCCTCTTGCGTTTCGCTATCAGACGTATTCCCAACTGAAGCTATTGCTGCCGCTGCTACTGCAGCTGCAGCTTCGCTAACTCGTTTAATTCCTTCCTTCAGTGCCGCGGGCATAAGATGATGAGAAGTTGGATTGCCAGCGGAGAGTAAAGTTGTTGGCGGCACGCCAAGCGATGAGATATGTGACGGTAGAGCGAAGTGCGCGAACGGACTGTGCAAAGGTTCCGAGTGTGAGCGATAGATTTGCAGAAGCTGCTGGTGCCGTCGCTCACGCGCTTCAGCCTCTTGCAGATCATCAAATGCTGCAGAGGCCAGATGTTGCGCGGAATTACAGTTACGCTCCTGTCGCCCAGAAATGCTACTATGCGCATCATCGGCGGCATCCCCAGCGGATGAGGCGCCAGAATCGCTAGGCGTCTCGCTGAGACGCGTTTCCGCTTTGCTGCCGTAAACACCGAATGCGGGTAAGAGTTGTTGTGCATGTTGTTGATACTGTGCGCCATGTTGTAGTTGCTGGTGCGTTGCAAGCAGTTGTTGTTGATGTTGCTGCTGCTGCAAATGCTGTTGTTGTTGCTGCTGATGTGGCATGTGGTGTTGGCGCCCGCCATCGGCGACGCCATTTAGAAATTTCGCCGCGGTGCTTAAGAGATTATGTTGCGCGGGTGTTTGAGGCGAGCACCGATTACTATTCGCCGCAACAGCTGCCGCGGCTGCAGCACTGAGCGCCAAAGCTGTAGGCGACATACTCGCCGATTTAATGCAGGGGTTCGTCTTATCTTGGTATGTTTGACGTGCTTGCAGTTGGTGAAGGCGCGCTAGTTGTTCCAGGCTCGCTCGATTTGTATTTTGCTCATTTATGCCGCCGCCAGGACCACCGCCACCGCCGGGTCCATTTCCCGGCACGCTTTGTTGTTCTTGTAATAAACAATGTATTTTAAACCAATTAGAACGGCGGCCATAACGGGAGCCGCTCTTTGACATACCGACCAGCAGACACTTGCGCAGACGGCAAGCTTTGCAGGCGGTGCGATTCTTCTTGTTGATCACACATTCACCGTTATGTTTGCAGCCCGCAATGGCAGCTATATTGTTGTATGTGCGGCCGAAAAAGGACTGAAACGAGAGAAGTAAAAAACTACTGTAAGTAAAATAATATACAATAAAACAAAAAATAAAATGAAATAAAATGAAATAAAATAAAAAAACATAAAATAAAATAAAATAAAAAATAAAATAAAATAAAATAAAATAAAATAAAATAAAATAAAATAAAATAAAATAAAATAGAATAAAATAAAATAAAATAAAATAAAATAAATCAAAGTAAAATATAATTAGGTCGAAAAGAAAAGGAAATAAATTAATTATGATGCATTAAAATAAAATAAGATAAGTTAAAAAATAAAGATATATTAAAATAAAATAAAATAAAATAAGCTAAAATGAAATTAAAAAATGAAGTAAAATAAAGTTAGTTAAAAAAATATAAAGTTAAAATAAAAAAATTAATAAAATGTAAAAGATAATATTAAATAAAATTAAATTATATAAAAATAATTAAATTATTATAAAATAGAAGTTTAGTTCAGGTTTCTTAATGCCGCAAAGCAATCATTAAACTTAAAAACGATAAATAATATCGACTTCTTTTTCTTAAAAACAATTGTTTGTTAGTCTCGTTTTCCGTGGGATATCTTTGATATATATATGCTCGTATGTATATTCACAAAGATTTGCCTGTAATGCTCTTTACAAAAGCCGCAAACTTGACACAGATTCATTCATTCTTTCGCATTCACCACCAATGCCAGTAGCAATTGCTACGCAATAAAAAGGGGAGTAGAAATGTACAATAGCAGTTCATATGAATAAGCTGTATACTGTAACACTAATAGCGAATTAATTAACACCTTTCAACGTTGAGTTGACTAGAAAATTATATACTTTCATATGAATGAACACACAAACACATATAGCCATATAAAAATCATCTTTGCTGGTAAATAAGTAGCAAGCGCTGCCAGACTTTTATTTGCGCTTTGCTGGCAGCTATTAATTTTCACTCAAATGGAGTATAAGTGTATTTGCATGTATATGTTTAGAGAGAAAAATAAAGTTGGAAATGAAAAATAACTACATATATTAATATATGTTTAAAACATTTTTTTTGCTTTAAAATTACAACAACCATGCAGCAACTTTATGAGTATATAGACAATATTATGAGCAAGTGCCCAAAGCATACAATCACAGTACATAACCGATTTTTTTAAATATTAAATTTTTTTTTTAATTTTACATTTCTTTTACTCCGCAAATGCATAACGTCTTACATTAGTGTAATATTAGTTGTTTGTTTATAAAAAAAATATATAGATATGAAGTAGATTCCTGGCCGCTTCATTTGGTCAGTAATGCTGATGGACTTTTAAGTGTGGCTTTTGTTTGGCGTTGAACTAATTACACACATTTGTAAAGACCGTTAAATACAAATGCCTAGATATACATACATAAATTATATGTGTGCTTTTATTTTTTACTTTGGTGCCAATTATGCATGCAGTAATGGTTAATGTAATTACACGGATGAAAAGTAGTCTACGATAAGGAAGAAAATCAAAATATGTTATGCAATAGAAAAGACAAAACCAAAATCCAAAAAAAAAGAGATTAATTAAAATTAAAAAAAATAAAATAACGGAAACGTTGAAATATTTTTGCCAAAAAAATTTGCCGAGTACAAATATGTCTGATATAAAACGGAAATAATTATTAAGACAAAAAATGAAAAAAGTTGTGAAAAAGTGATGTTAAAAAAGAGTTTTGAAAACAATGTTAAAAGATTACGATTAAAGAGAAAAATTTCCAGCAAAATTCATTAAACAGAAAATGTTGCTCAACATTCAAATATTGTTAAAGATAATGTATCTGCAACAAAAATGTGTTTTAAAGCCAGTGTTTAATATATAAAGAAAATTTTCTGAAAACTATTATTTAAATATAAAGAATAAATATAAATATAAAGAATTTCGTATTGCGCAGAAAAATTTTTGTTGAGCAAAAAAAATTAAAAAAATTAAATTCTGTCAAATAAAAAAATTAAACACTTAAATGTTGCTAAATTTTACAGCAAAAATGTGTTTAAAATATAAAGAATTTTTTTTTAAAATCAATGACTTAAAAATAAAGAATTTTTCCTAAAATCCATCATTAAAATATTACTCAGAAAAATTTTGTTGAGCAAGAAATATTTATAAAAAACTGCTATCAAAAAGAAGGGTAAATTACAACAAAAAAATGAAACAAAAATGTTGCTCAACATTAAAATGTTTCTGCAACAAAAATTCGCCTCAGTTCAATGTTTAAAATACAAATTTTTTCTTAATTAATGATAATCAATATCAACAAAAAATTGCTGAGAAAATATTATGTTTTGTCATAAAGTATTTATCAATAAGAAATGTTGCTGAGCGCAAAAAAGGCAAAATTTATATATCAAAAAAAAAAAAACAGAAAAAAAAAAAATTCAAAATAAATATGCATGCAAATTAAATAAAAATTATAAGAAAATATCAAAAACGAAATATTAAAAAATACTTTCAAATTACTATAATTTTTTTTAAAGCATTGTATGAACAAAAAGTTTTTCTCAACAACTGTAGCTTATTAAAAAGTCTGTAGCTTAGTAAAAAATCCTGCTTCAAAATGATGTTAAATTTCAAAAATATTTTTTTATTAATTTTTTAAAATATTTTTTTCTTCTATCATAAGTTAAAAATTCTGCATATAAAGGTTATTCATGCATTAAAAATAAATCATAGCTTTTATTACTTGCATTTATACCTTACCAGTATTATTATTACTATCATTAACTTCAGCATAATACATTTTCTTTAAGATTTTACTGCACGTGTTTATAGCTATGAAAATGCATAAATACTATATTACCATATATCTATGTGTGTATTTTAAGAAAATTAATGATATCTAATGCCACCATAACAATAATCATGTGGAACAAAAATAAAAGAACAACAAAAAAAATAAGATAAAAATAATATAAAAATAACTAGAAAAGCGCAACATCAAACAAGCACATCTACTGCCACAGCAATAGTTTTTTTTTATTTGTTGAATTTTTTTTATATTTTTTTTTGTGCTTTTGTAGTTTTTTTTTGTGAGTTTTTTCTATTACTTTTGTATATGTATTTATATTCGCATATTTCCATTAAGTTCTTTTTTATTGTTATGATGCGCTTAATGCACATCTTTTTATATCGCGTCTCTTTGTTTGCCTCATTGGCATCGCCATAACAATGTTGCCAGCATAATTGTAAAGAAAAAAGATCTTAATAATAATATGAAAGAAGTCTTTTACTCTTTGTTGTTGTCATTGTATTGGCTTGCTGTTTTGTGTCATTAAATCGTTGTTGGTTTTATGTTATTTGTGCCCACGACGACCTTGACTTTTTCATCAGCAACACCACCTGCTCAACTAGTCAATGGCTCATCAAGTCGCAGCAGCAGCACACCTTTGTTTGGCTGATTAGTGTTGCTCACAACATTTTTTTTTATTAAGTTCGAGGCTTCTTCGTTGTATTCTTTGGCGTGATTCTGTTTTTTTTTTTTTCAGTGGCTATATACTCGTATATATTATATTTGATAATGTTGGTCGTGCCTTTGCCATTGGCGTTGATGTACTGTTCAACAGAGTGTTACTTTGATTTGATGTTGTTGTTGTTGTTGCTGTTGCATTGTGTATATTTGCTTGAATGTTGCTATTAATGAGTATGTTTGCTTTTATGTACATATGTACATAAATAAATAAATAATTTTTATTTTCATCATATTCTTGCAAAGCAGCAGCTTAATTTCGTGTCAAATTATCATAATACTGATATTTGTGTTCTCAAATTAAATTTTTGATATTAAGTATATTTTTTAATAATTTAAATATAATCCTAAGAATGTGTTTATGAACAAAATTTGACAATTTTTTCCACTTTGTTAATTTCTTATTTAAAGATATTTTTCATTTCTTCTCTTTTCAACCGCGAACTCAGCGTTATCCAGGACAGGAACCAATTGAATACGGTGCAAATCTAAATAATAATGACAAAATTCTATAGACCGGTGAACGATGCATGGAGGCAGGCATCAAGCTTATTGAGAACTCCTAGCTTCATTGTCTAAACAACTGACGAATGTTTAAAGTCTTAAATTAAGCAAAAAGCTATGATGTTCTATGCGAGGTCTACTTTACTTCATATTAAATTGATGCTCCTTCTCGAACTACAAATGACCAACAGGTCTATGAAAGGCGAAATAGCCAGCGGGTATAACCTTAAATAACCCTTCTCTCGTCAGCTTGATAAGACATGAGCTACAACGATACTCCTCTCTATGGTTTTGAAACTTACATATGTTGGACCATAAACGGCTCTACGAAGGAAGATCCTTAAAAGTCTCTGTGAAGTGAAGATTCTTTGATGATACAAAAAAGACCTCAGCAAACGGATAAAGTATTTCGAATATCTTGAGCAATCTTTTACTTATCAAATAAGAGTAAAAAAATATTCTTTCCAAGAAAATAACAAATTTGAGGTTATGGTAATGTAGCCACTTAATATATATCTTCGATTTTAAAGATGCTTTCTCTCAGATGAGTAGCAGCAAGCACAGACAACTCTTCATTGAAAAACTAAAGAAATTCTGGTATAAAACTGGTATATTAAAAATAAAATGAAAACACATCAATATTTGTTTGCAAATGAGCGGAATTGCGTGAAACAACAGTTTCTACCGTTACTCAACCGCTGCGCTTTTTTTTCGTGATATGTCCATATCCTGTAGGTAGTCGCTTTGTGCATTAAATCTAAGGTTAGCATCTCAAAATAGGCAAGATTTTGAAGTTTTTTTACGAACAGATAGCTTACAGGCCTAAATGAATTAGTATTAAACTAGTATGAAGCTGATGCATAATTAGACAATGAACATTTCGAGGGACAAGCTAGTATAAAATTATAAATATAAAGCTTTGTAACTTTCCCTCTAGAAAAGCGACTGGCTATAAAAATTTGTTAAGAGAAAAGCCTAAACTCCATGTAAAATGAAGTAAAGTCTAGATTTGGTGCACACGTTGTGAAAAGAGTCGTATTTTTCATTTATTTAGCAACACCACCAACGACAACATTCGAAACTAGAAAGTCCAGTTTCTTTATTAGGCAAAATATAATCGAGCCCACTTCAGTAAGTCAAGTGAAAAATCCGCTCGAACCTCACCCTTGCTCGCTATGTGCAGGTGATCAAGCGTTATGCAGCGACGAGGAAGATATAGGGGAGGAAAGGCCTGAAAAGCTTGGGAGATTGCCAAACATTTTTATACTGCAGGTTCAACGAGAAGCTGCGGCAACTTAGATAAGCTTTCAAGAGCAAGTCCTGCGCCTGTTAGGGGTAGAAGTTTCTTTCATGCCTGATAACTTCACGGATGCGTTCTGCAGGTCATTGTACTTTATGTAATCTCTTTTGGTAAGAAACTGCTGAGTTCTTTCTTAATTCCCATATAGCTCCAAGTACTATTCGAATTAAGAACCGATGCACGGACTCCTTGTAGCCATATTTTGAACAATTTTTATTAACGATTTTCTAGAAGAATTACCGATTATTTAACGCTAATATTTTTTAATTTGAAGTATTTTACTTTCCAGTAAATTCCAGTAATTCTCCTTGCAAAGCGATTTGGTGAAGAGATGATTGTGAAAAATCAGTTATTTTAAAAATCATAATTTAAAATTACATACATACACATACAGTTATGTAGTGAACACTCTGATTATTTATTAATTTGCAGCATAAGGAAAAATCTTCAATCCCGTAAAAATCTGAATTTAATAACAAATTAAAATAGTATCAGCTTAACTTGGCTAATGATCATATGGCTACACATGGACATAAAAACATTTGTTCCGCATACCTCCTCTCTCTCTCTCTCTCTTCCTCTTCTCGCCTATACACACATTAATTTATTAAAAACATATTGATGCATTGCAAGGCAAGAAATTAATGATGATGCGCGAACAATTGATGCAGTGAAGTGAAAACAAAATGCTTGAAGATATAACAGTAACTAATTCTATAAATCATAAACAAAAAATTAATGCAGAACAACAACAAATCGTAAATTAGTGCGCCAAAGTTGATTAAGTGTAACCAAATTGATGACCATAAAAAGCAACAGTGATCATACTTATGTATGTATATATAAACCCATAACATATATGTATAAATGAGGCTATGTACACACAAGCATATATACAGATGTACATATATGCGTAAGTTACTAAATTAAGCAGGAAATCATATAGAGCATTAATACGCATATCCATAACGTCTGCAGTAAGCGCCATGCGCCAACAGGTTAGTGTCGTGGAGTCTTTCGTTTTGCCACACTTATTTTATGGTTTCTTACGTGTGTGCGTAAGTACGTACATATGAATGTAAGTAACATTGCGTTAATAACATTTTAATGATGCGGATACATGTGTAGCGCTGTGCATGTAATTTACTTATGTAATTGATATCGGTGACCCACTGTGCAGGTGATTTAATAACAAAAAATTTTTAAGACGTCATATTAAACATATGTACATACATAAATTAATATAAAATTGGCAGTCCGTCAAAATATAAGAAAAAATAACTTGTTTCAGATAAAATAAAATAATTTAAAATAGAACAAAAAAGTAAGTTAAATAAAAATAATAAAAAAAAAATAAAACAACAAAAAAAAGAATAAAACAGATAAATTAAATAAAACAATCTAAAATAATATAATATAAAATTTAATGATTCAAAATAAAAGAATGTAATATGAATCAAGTTAAAAAAAAAAAACATAGTAAAATAAAACAAAGTGAAATTGGAATTATAAAAATGAAACAAAATAGAGGTGAGAGAGATGTAGATAAAAAGTAAAATTAAATATTAAAATAAGGTGAAAAAAAAGAAATAAAATAGAATTAATCAAAATAAAACTGAAGTTAAGCGAACTAAAATAAACGAAACGAAATAAAATGAATAAAAATATAAAGAAATCCAATAAAATAACATGAAATAATAAAATGAATAAAAAATAAATAAAAAATAATTTAAAGCACATATATGAGGTCACGGATAATAAAATAAAATACAATTAAATAATTTACAATAAAATTAAAAAATAAATAGTAAAAGACAATTATAACTCAACAAGCTAAAATAATATAAATTATTTTTTTTATAAAATAAAATAAATTAATAAAAATAAAATAAAGCTATATGATATAAACTAAAGTCAAATAAAATTAAAGTAAGTTAAATAAAATAAAACAAAATAAAAGAAAAGAAAAGAAAAATTTAAAACTGAATGTAATAAAATCAAATAAATTAATGTAAAAGAAAATAAAAAAAGTTAAATAAAAAAATTGCGTTAGAAAGATAAAATTAAATGTAGTAAACTAAATTGAAAATGTAGATTTAAATATTAAAATAAAGTGAAAAGAAAATAAAATAATTTATTATAAAATTTAGAAAAAATAATATATATATGTGAAATAAAGTACAACTAAATGTAGTTAAATCAAATAAAATATTTTACAGGAATTTTGAATTAACTGAAATATAAAAATTAAATAAAATTAATTAAAAAAATATATATCATAATAGAATATAAAAAGAATTAAAAAAATATAATTAAATTAATTAAAATTGTGAAGTTTAATATAAAATTAATAATAATATTGAATTAAAGTGAAAAAAATTAAATATAATAATGAAACTTTCAAAAAAAAAAGAAAATATGTAAAAAATAAAATAAAAAAATTAAATAAAATAAAACTAAAAAAAATAGTACTGAATGTAATTAAAACAAATACATTAATATAGTGGGAAATTAAAAAATACTTAAAAAATACATACATATATACAATAAAAAATATATAATAAAATAAAAAAAAATTTATTTGAAATAAAATAATATAAATTAAATTTTGCAAAATTATACTGAAATATAATTAAGGAATAACATGAAACCAAACTAAATTAAATATGCTGTAATAAAAAAATGGATTTATTATATAAATATAAATTAATATAATTATTAAGTATATTCTTTCTTAAATATTTTCTTCCCACACTTTGTGATTGAAGGCCTCTGATTAGCTCTAAGAGATGCCTGTTTCTATTATAGGCAAAACAACAGACTCTCCGTTCCCCATTTTACTCTTCTCAGTTTCACAGAAGTATTTATGCCGTTGGCATGAAAAATAAAATATTCATACTCTTTATGATCAAACGCATTAAGTTGAACATGAAATGGGCGAAATAGATCATAAAAGAAAGCAATAACACTATAGTAAATGCCTGGCAATAAAAATGTAAATAAGAAATTACAAACTCGTACTCACTCGGACATATGTACATGCCGAGCCAACTGAAAGGCAACAACAAACGATTGGCCAAAGTGTAACGAGTAGCCAATAACCGAAGCTAATTGTGGGAAAATATTTGTTTTGCATGCAAGAATTGCGAAATACATGAAAAACATAGAAGTTAATAAAAGATAAAAGCAAAAGAAATAAAATAAAGTTTAAAGCCAAATTAAATTCAATAAAATTCAAATGCGTGCTATTAACGAAAGAATGAGCGAAATGTAATGAATGCAGAGCATGCAAGCCCGCTGTCAATCAATATGGACGGGCGCCTCAGCAAGCCCACAAAAGACATTTGTTACACGTGTTGTTGTTATTTTTGTTTTCATATTGGAGAATGGCAATAAGTTGAGCTTTGAAAAAAAAAAATAACAAAAAAGGCAAGTAATTGAACTGTGCAACTTGAGTTTGTGAACTAATTTATATTTATTGCTTTACTCTTTGGCTTTGTGGCAAGCAAATTGATTGTTATTCATTTCATTTCAATCTTTACATTTTTTTTTGAATATTCATATTGTTGATTTCGCTTGAGCGTGCAAAATGCACTCTGTCAAATTGACATTACATGCGTATTACATGATTTCCCAAAGTAAAAATTCAAGCCATCACGTATATATATGTATATATGAAAATATACATATATACTCTTATAAGTATGCAAGGCGATGAGATGTGTAGTGAGCAAAAACAACACAAACTGTAATATTTTTGAAATACACAAATCTTTTAAAATTCATTTTAAAAAAAATTGATATTAAATTTTCATAAAAAAATTATTAAAAAAAATAATTGAAAAATTACTTTTTGCGTTTTTTTTTACCTTACAGCCCTCGCATGTGAATGCGCCAAAATGAAACCCAGCCGCCGGTTCACCACACACTTTGCACAGCTGGTTCATCTGCAAGAAAGGAAATAAAAATAAATACCAATTTAAAAAAATCAACAAAGCTTTATTATTTAAAATTAGAATTAAACATAATGTTTCAATATCAAATTCCTGTGTTTTTAGAAACATATTTACTTAAGTGCTATTACTTTAAAATAAATGCATCTTAAGTGCTTTAGTTCAAATTTTTGCACTTAAGAAAAATATAAATACAGAAGAATAAAAATTAAAAATAATATATATAAATATAAATATAAATATAAATATAAATATAAATATAAATATAAATATAAATATAAATATAAATATAAATATAAATATAAATATAAATATATAAATGTACATATGATCCGAAGGAATATGGTGCAATAGAGAGGAAGGAAAATTTGTATACTTTAAATAATTAAAGGCCACACTTGATAAGCAAAATCTAAATATTTTTTGATTAGTTTGGAAAATATCTTACCATATGGCGCGCATATGTTTTGAATTTTAAACATATTACGACAATTATTTTTCGCAAAAAAATAAATTATCTCATGGGTACGTAATATTAATTTGTGTTGGATTTAAAAAAAAAGTTAAAATTAAGTGCCCTATATATTAGACCTGCTTATTGTAGACACCTGTAAGCGAACTCTGCATTAGGGTTGGCGCAAAAAAAAAGATGAAAAAAATGTTAAGAAAAAATTATGGAAAAAATAAACCAATTAAAAACACTTAATTTTTATAAAAAGTTATTTAAAAATATTTAATTTTTTTTACTTTCTTTTCTAAAAATTTCTTTAAAGAATAAAGTTCGTTTTTATTTTGTGTTAATATAGTTTACTAGATTTTATATTATTTAATTTAATTTAATTTAATTTAATTTTATTTAGCTTTATTTAATTTAATTTCTGATTACGCTTCATTTGATTTATTTCAATTTTTTTAATTATTTCATTTCATTTATTTTATTTTTATTTATAGTTTTTTCTTTTATTAAATTTATTTTATTTTTTTTTAATTTTTTTTTTTTTTTATTAAAATCTTTTTTCATTTTTCCTAATTTTGTTGTATTTCATTTCCTTTTATGTTATTTTAATTTATGTCATTTTATTTTATTTAACTTAGTTTTATTTAGCTTATGTTATTTTATTTGATTAGATTTTATTTTGTTTTATTTTATTATTTATAAGTTTTTTTATTTTTTGTTATTTAAATTAGTTCATTAAAAATAAATTTAATTTTATTTTATATTAATTCAATTAATTTTTCTTTTTTTTAATGACTAAAATTTCCTTTTCTGCACCTTTTCCTCTTCTAGCTTAGTTTTTACGCGACCAAAACGTCCTGCCACCTACTCAACACTCAAAGCCGCATCGTGATATGGCTCTTCCATAGAATCAGAGAAGGGGTAAGCAGCAAAGAAAGAAAAAAAAAACAACTACGGCAAAACGAACGTTTATCAGAGTTCAAGCGAGGTAACAAAACAGCAACAAGCAGATCCAAAGTCAAAGGCAATGCCATCTATAGCAGTAGTAGTGGCGGCGTAAAAAATTTTCACAGGCGTGCTCACAGCAAGAAGGCTACACCAAAAAATGTTGCAATGCCAAAAAGTCTGCAGCGGCAATTGAAATATCTGAACGAAAAAATGTACAGAAAATACGTCGATCGTTTGCAGGAGCCCAAATATCGAAAACAGCTTGTAAGCAGCAGCAATGAAGAAGCAACAAGAGGAGCAGTCATTTTACCTGCGACAACAACAACAGCAAGCGCTCAATTCAATGTTAAATTTTTAAACTCGAAACGCCGAAACAAGCAAAACTCTTGGTGTTGTTGCTATTTTGTTAATCTTCTCTACCTGAGTGTTGCTAACATTTTTCTTGGATTTCTTATTGTTACTAAGCGGGATATTTTTGATACTCCGTTCCTTCCTTCTTTTCGGTTTCTTTAATTTTCCTGCACTTTATGCTTGGGTCTCAAGCATATTTCACCGGCGGAGGTGGAGATGTACGTGGCTTTGGCTTCGGCTTCGTTTTCAGTCAACTCCAATCTGGCAATGGCCTGGCCAGCCTGTGAACATGTTTGACCTACTGAATGCCGCAAGGAAATTATGCCATTTACCGCATTTATTTAGTAGGTGAACAGGAAAAATTGGTTGCTAAAACAACAACGCTAGTAGAAAGCGTGGTAAGCAGCAGAAATTGAAAGAGGCGAGGGCGATGCAAATGCTGATGATAAAATAAAATTACGAAATATAAGTGAAATAGTGTAGTATGCACGTAAAGGTTGGGAGCGTGATTTGATCAAATAATATCAGAGAAAAAAATCTCGTCCCATTAGAACGAAATAAAAATTAAATAAATTAAATAAAAATTATTTAATAAATAAAAGTTAATTGAAAAATAAAATTAATTAAAATAAAGTTAAATCAAATAAGACAATATAAAGAAAAATTCAATAATTTAAATTAAATTACCATTACATAAATTAAAATATGTTTAATTCAAATAAGTAAAATTAATCTGAATTAAATCAGAATATATAATCTGAATCAAAAATAAAATATAATAAAATAAAATAAAATAAAATAAAATAAAACAGAGTAAATTTAAATTAATATAATAAGAATATTTGCTGCTGCAACGAAAAACGTATATATATATATGTATATATCCAACATCTATTTGCGCATGTAAACTTTTTTCTTAAGTATAGGTCAAGTAAAAATCATGAAGTAAGCAGAATGAAGAAGAGTTTGAAAACAATCTGACGACGCAAGCCGAAGCAATAAAGTTCGGTGAAAGACGGAGAAGATGCGCAGTAAAACAGTCTAGAAGTTAATGGGGCGCTTTAAAAAGCAAGTGAAAAGAATTGTCTTGCCACATTTACGGTATTATATTGCTGTGGCATGCCGCATGCGGCATAGCAATAGTTCGTAGAAAACACCTCCTTCCGCTGCTATGCCTGCTGCACGTTCTCTTCAATAAGTTTGTGCATTTTTAATGAAATGATAATTTTTTCTATGGCATTCGATATGTGTTTTCACTGCAATTGGACTTTGTTTTTTGTTTTTTTTGCTGAGCCATTGATTTGCTGTACTTTTTTTTATAGGAATTTTTTTGTTTGTTTTCTTTTTCACATTTCTTGCCACTTTTCTTGTGTACAATTCTCAGCTTTTTATTGTCCTCCTGTATGCGACTGGTTGGTTGGTAAGGTGCATCGCAGGCGTCGGCTGCAGCAGCAACAGCCTCTTCAGCTTTGCTGGTTGTCGTCACCGTTGTTGTCTTCAGTTGCGCAGCCAGTCATCTTCACTTTGTTCCCAGCATGTATGGTAATTTCGCTATGAATTGCTGTGGAATTGCTGCATATTTTCATCCATTGTTAACTTACTGGCTTATGGACATACATACATACATAGATACATATACATATATGCATATGTGAATCGATTATAATAAATATATGTACACTTATATGTTGTGTGCTATACGTGTATGTATGTAGTTGTGTCTACTACTTTAATGCATTTCTTATTTATCTTTTGTCGTAATTTTTTCTTTCTCCTTTTTGGCACTGTTTTGACTTATGAACTGTTTGCCAATGCCATGGTCGTGGTCATGCCTTCCTCGTTGATTGCCTCTAACCGTTTTCGTTTTTCGCATATAATATTTATTGCTGCACCCCTGTTCGCAGTATGCTTGTTGTTAGCAATTTTTTTGTTTTGTATGTTTTCTTGTTTGTATGTAAAACTACTTTATACTGTCTCGGTTGGTTACATATATATATATATTTTAGTAGGAATGTAGTGATTGGGTATTGTTCTGATCGAAGTGATGGACTTTTTTAAGTGTTTTATTTTTTTATTTATTAATTTTTTATTTTCTGGAAATTAAATTTTCCATGCAGAAATTTGAAAGAAAATGATTTTGGTTTTGTATTAATTAATTAAGTAATTAATTGTTGCTAATCTCACACAAAAAAAAGAAAATTAGTCAGCATAAAATTTGTGAAGAAATTTAACTGAAAATTTAGGCAAAGTGAGAAATAAATTAATTAACATTTTGAAATATTTTGTAAGAAAAAATGTAATTAATTTTTTTTTACTTTGATAGTTAAAAGTTAGAAATAAATCCTAGATAGATGACATTCTAAAAGCCCACGAGGAAACGTCGCTGATTTTTGTGTACACAAAGGCTAGGAAGTTTAGAGAGAATACGCGTAACAGCAGCATTACCATCCGCTCGCCCAAAAGCACTGCTAACTCTGCTCTCTGGTAGAAATGCCGAAGGAGCTGGTTGACACTACCTCCAGTATGTGCTTCGACAATCTCTTTTTCACAAGAATACTTAACAGAAATATATTGTAAAATACAAATGTTCTCCATCAAGGACCCATAACCACTTTTACGGCCGGTCATAACTATTTTGGGCTGTGGAATCCACTCTTTGACTCTCTCAATAACAATAAGTCTGAGATTAGCGGATCACTGCAGCCTTTTTCAAGCAGAATTCTTTGCAACCAAGGAAGATGCCGAGTGGCTGCTTATAGCGAACCTCTTGCTTGAAGTCGCAGCCGCCCCTATGGTGAACAGACGCTGCATTTAGACTTTAACGAACACTTAAGTCTCTACACGGGTTCGTTACCGCATATTGAGCAAGGATTGCTCACGTTTCACGTGAATACAAGAGTAGGAATTGAGTACTCGTATAGCCCAGCTTGACTACCCAGAAGCTTGCCTACACCTCATTACACCCCGACAGTAGGACAATCAGTCACGATATATATCGATAGTCAAGCTACTATCACATCTCTACAATATAACTGTACTGCATTAAAGGTAGATATAATATGTAAAAACAATCAGAATAAACCCTCGACTAAACACAACACTGCCACAGGTTGGGTAACCGGACAAAGAGTGGAAACGTACTCTTCTTGCCACACTAAAACATGTACTCGATGCAGGTTAACCTTTTTGCATGGCAAAAATACGATAAAACTAGGTCATATCAAAAAGAAAACTGTAG